CTCTTCGACGGTGCCTCTCCACTACCAGCGCGGGAAGATTCGCCCGTTAAACGGACTGCGGGAATCGGAGTCTCTAGCTGAGAAGTAGCCTTCGCGCACACGGCTTTGGCCGCGAGCGCAGATCGGGCAGTAGCTCTCGGTGCAGGCCGGGCTGGTGTTGTGATTGACGGAATGCGAGCAGAGGAGCCCTCGTCCTTCGCGCTATCGAACTGCCAATAAGGAAATATTAGATCATATAACGACAAGGTTAGACTGAGGTAAAGAATAAAGCGAAACTGCAGCGGGCCGACTCACCAGTAAGAGGCTTACGCCCATACTTCTCAAGGAAGGACGCCCACTCACGAATCATCCATCGTATGGGGAAGAATTACGCTCACCCACTCGTGGATATCGGTAACTAGCGGGAGGGGGGAGGGTAGTCTCTCGGCTGCAAAAGCAAAAACAAGTCCTCAGCAATATCACCTAAAGGAGGACGATCGACGATCGTCTTAAGAAAAATCACAAAGGAAACAAAGGAAAACTCACGAGCGAAGTTCCACGTCTCAGGAAACCTTGCCGAGTTTGCCACAAGGTGCTATGTACGCACATAGAAGTAGCTTTCCCAAAAGCGGCGATTAGCCTTGTCGTCCATCTTTACCACCAAACTCTTGGTTCCTCGATGGCGCATATGGATCATCGTACCCCGAAGAAAATGAGGGGCAAAGATGTGAAGCATGTGCGCCAAGGAAATTCCTCAGCCGGCAAGCTCCGCGTACTTGATAAGCATAAGAAAGAGTCTAAACGCGTACAGAGAGAGTTTAACCGGGCACACTTCGTAGAAGTGGCAGAATTCAACCACCAGAGAGGGAAGAGGAAGCGTGTACCCGATAACGAAGGGGTACGCATAAAATGCGCAATATCCCGGGCGGTACAAATATACAATATCCTTCCCCGTCGTCGGTACCATTTTGATATGGGCAGGGATTCCCCACTTGGCCTTGAGCGCCGTAATCGCCGCTTCATCCATAGTAGAAGGGACGGGCTCTGGTTCATTTCCGGCGGGGCTATTAAAGTTAGTCCTCATCTTCCCCGGGCGGGGTACTATCTCATCCACCGTCGGAAATACCTCATCTTCCACCACCTTCACTCTCCCTCTCCAAGAAGGGACACGTCACTTTCCGGCACCGGAGCGCCAACAACTCTATCAGTCTGGGAAGGAGTACCAGCCATTTGTCTTCTTTGATCGAAATAAACAAGGATGATGAAGAGAGAAAGGTTAATAATCACAGTGTATTCTAGCAGAAGCAGAAGAATGGGAAGCTGTAGAAGGGGAAGGAAGTTTGCAAAGTTCTCTGATAATTGAAAAGTGCAACAATCAAATAGAGGGTTTCTCCCTTATTTATAGAGACATAAAGGCCTTGAGCGGGAAAACCAAGAGCCGCCAATCAGAAAATGAAAGGGGCATAGAAAACGATACGGTGCCTGGGAAACGTGCGCCACGATAACGTATGATAAGCCTTCATGATATCATGGATTGATGTGACAATCCAATTCTGAACTGATGTAACGGTCCAATGAGGTTTTCGGATCGTCACGTCGCTACCTCGCCATAAAGACCTCGACACTTGCATAATGATCAGATTTCTCCCAACTTTTGAATCAACAGAATCCGCCCATCGAGCTCGCCAAGAGGCGACCCCAACAGGCGGAGGGACTAACTGTATTGGTCAAAATCTGGCCACACACGGATTACCAATAAAGGAAACGGTATAGGGTCGACCTAGCCATGGACGTACCCTAAGGCGTAATGACGACGAGCGTCTCGTCCACTGCCGAGATCGAGCCATTGAGAGGCTTGCACAGCAGAATACATACGGTCATGCTTGAGCAAGTAAAGTGGAAGATAGTCGAGAAGGGGTATGCTGGTTAAAGACCGTTAGATATAGGGGGAAGATAGGTTTTATATATAT